AATTTTTCTTGTGACATAAAAATTTCCAAACTTATACCCATGTGACATATTTATCATCCGTCAAAGGTTCCGTGAGATGATTTTTCAGCCAAAATAAAATTCTTTTTATTTCACCTAAGCCATGTAGGCATTATGTCAACATTATTTGCTTTCTGGCGTCCATGTGTGCAGACCTTTAACGATTCTCGTTGACAGAATTTTGACGAATGATAAATATGTCATACAAGTACAAATTTGGGATTTTTAGTATCACAAAAAAATTTAGAGTGAACGTGTCATAATGGGCATAATTTATGATTTTTGATGACTTTTATCGTTTTAGATATCGGTGGAAAAATAAAAAAAGTTACTTTTGACTTTTAAGAAATCTCACAAACAAACCCTAAATATTGGGGTGCACACATTTTTGAATTTTTTGTGACTCGGAAGACCATAAAGTTTCACAACATCTGAATATTTATACGTAGGTTCACATATGATTTAAATCATAATCTTTAGAACTTTTGTATATATTTCAAATTTTGACAAGAAAGAAAAAAACTATAAATATCTCTTTACTCGTTGCTAATGCTAAACAAATAGCCCTAAGAATAAAAGGGAAATCTATGGTCCCTCATATCTATCGTTCTAAAAACATTGCATCTAAGTGCATTTCATCGTATCTCCTATACAAAACATCGTACCGCACAAACTCTTCATAAACAAATGGTCGAGATTTCTTCTCTTACAATCCGACGACCGCCGGTCTCCAAAGATCCGATCATCGGGGATTTGTAGAACAGTCCCTTGAGACTAAACAGGCAGCGAAGATGGCAATAGACAAGAATAACGCACCCAGAAAATTATTGGGCGTGAAAAGTTGGCCCGGCTCATCGACTTTAGCAAATAAAGCGGCCGTCGGCATAGAGAGACAATTATTGCGAAATTTGAAAGTGGTTTGCTCAACATAATGATGACATTTTGGGAACACAAACCCTCAAAAGTGGAACTTTCCGTACCGTCGGGCGATTAAAACAAATCCTCCTCCGTCGTAGTCCATCGATCGGCGCAAAGCGTTTCGTTTCCTGGTTTCCCACGCACACGAGCCACAAGAAAGACAAGCTACCCCCTCTTCCGAGAGTCTGAAGCATTTCTTCAGAAATCAAGTCGAAATTTGGGCAAGCCATTCATGTTCCCTTCTATGTTATTCAATCCGGACCGGTCAGGGAACCGATCTGGCTTCCGATTCAATCGCCGTAGAGCGAACATTCTCCCGGCTCAGTTGGTTTAGAGATAGGCGTACATGCTTGTGGTTACGGGTTCGATCCCCTTACTGCCGTCATGGCTGACCTGAACCGATTAGCTCCGGGGTTAACCGGTTCATGACCATGATGATCATCAAAGAAAAGTCGAGCAATGATATGGTTTTCGGTTTAAATGGTTGAACCGGGCGATTCGATTTTGGTTTAAAACGGTGGTTTCCGCATTATATTTGTGTCATTAAGAATGTTTCTACGTGATTACGAAGTATTTACATTGAAAAATGGATGAAAATGTGTCACTCGTGTCATTTTCATGTTAAATTGTGTCGATATTAATTTCTTTCAATAAATTCATATTGTTTTATCGTTGTGTGCTGAGAATTATCACATCTAATGCTTGTTATTCAGGATTCGTAGTGTGCATGATTTTACATCCATTTTTACGCCTAAACCAAAATGAAATTTGTTGTGTAAAGAGGACCGTACAATCGATCAAATATTACGAGATAAATGGAGAAATAAATGAGAAAGAGAGAAATTCACGCATTATGATGTACTTAACTTGGTCTTAGTGGATGTACGTACTCAACTAGGGAAGCGGCGGCGGTAGCGATGAATCTATTATTAACAATGAAGATTACAAGCTTAAATAAAAAAAGAAAACTCTCTCGCACCTAAGCCTTGATCACAATCAATCAATCTTCACCCAATGTTTCACTCAATTTCTCAGGTGCTTTCCTGATAGAGAGACCCTAGAAACATTCAAAAGAGGATTTGATGTGTATCTCAAAAAATAGGCTTTAAATCGCGACTCACGGCATCTCCCGGGTGCCTAGCCCGTGGCCAAAAACCAGGGTCCATCCCAAGCCCCGGCTCTTCGGACGCTATGTCAAGCCTATCCTCAGGCCTATTGATTTCTTCGGGCTTTGATCCTTGCTCGAGTCATTCGCTAAATCTCAAACATCTACTCTATACGTTGTTGTATGAAAAAACACGTACAGTCGAAGAATTTGAAAAGAAATGAACAAGATTATGATCGAAATAAGACTCGATCCTCGGAATTTATGTTACAGAGTTCACACGACGAATTTAAACAAAAGGTAAAGATAGTGAAAAAGATGACCTTATACGTATGGTATGATGCTCGTCATAATCCCATATTAAATAATGTGAGATCTACTATAACAAGTTTATATCCGAATTGAATGACATTTCTTTTTTTTTTTAAATGTCTCTTTTGAAACCCAACTCTGGTTCTCAGGAGAAATGCGAAATCTGATGCGTTGTTAGTTTGGTTCTTTATCAATTTGTTTCTTCTTCCCATTTCTTTTCCTCACGAGACGACGAAAGCTTTATATGATTTGCCGCGGAGGTTATCTCTTTATTCCCCCTCTATTTCTCAAAATGCTCAATGCTCTTTTCGCATTTTGCCAGCTCTCGAAGAAACTACGTTCAAAAAGAGAGACGCAGACTAGACAGAGTCCCAGTTGCCATGTTGAGTGTTCGCACTCTAAAGTCAAAGATTCGACCATGCATTGAAAGAAGAGGAAGATCTTTCCGGGGATCCTTCATAGAATTAAGGGAAAAAGCCACCAAAAACCCCAAACTTTGCCATCTGTGACACATTTACCTCGAACTTTTTTTTGTGACACCAAAAATCTCGAACTTTGCTTTTTGTGACATTTACCCCAATGTATTTAGTCCATGGGCATTTCGTCTTTTCGCTTTTTTTTTTTTTTTTTTTTTTTTTTTCCTTTTCCGTGAGGGGCCTCGCCAGGCGTCCCAGCGAGCGAGGGCGACCCTCGCCGGCGTCGGGCGAGGTCCGCCCTCGCACGGGCGGCGAGGGCGGCCCTCGCCCGGACTCGGGCGAGGTCGACCCTCGGCGGCGTCGGGCGAGGTCGACCTCGCTTGAGCCTGGGCGAGCGGCGCGCCGCCGCCCAGGCGCAGGCGACCCTCGCCGGCGTCGGGTGAGGTCCGCCCTCGCCCGATCCGGGCGAGGTCGACCCTCGCCGGCGTCCGAGCGAGGCGGCCTCGCCAGATCCCTGGCTGTGGCGGCCCTCGCCCAGGCTCGGGCGAGTCGACCTCGCAGACGCCGGCGAGGGTCGACCTCGCCGGGATCGGGCGAGGCGGCCCTCGCTCGCCCGAGCGAGGCGAACCTCGCCCGACTCGAGGCGAGGTCGACCCTCGCCGGCGTCGGGCGAGGGTCGACCTCGCCCGAGTCCGAGCAAGGGCCGCCCTCGCTCGCCCGGGCGAGAGGCGACCCTCGCGCCGGCGTCGGGCGAGGTCCGCCCTCGCTGGGCGAGCGAGGCGGCCCTCGCCGGGCTCAGCGAGGTCGACCCTCGCCCGATCTCGGCGAGGTCGACCTCGCTCGAGTCGGGCGAGGGCCGCCCTCGCTCGCCCGAGCGGCGAACCCGCGCTGACGCCAGCCGAGGGCCGCCCTCGCCGGATCCGCGAGGGCCGCCCTCGCTCGGGACGCGGCGAGGCCCCCCTCGCCGGATCCGGCGAGGGCAGCCCTCGCCCGCCGCCGGCGAGGCCCCCCTCGCCGGAAAGGGAAAAAAAAAAAAGAAAAAGCAGAAAAGACGAAAATGCCCATGGACTAAATACATTGGGGTAAATGTGTCACAAAAAGCAAAGTTCGGGGTTTTTGGTGTCACAAAAAAAAGTTCGGGGTAAATGTGTCACAGATGGCAAAGTTTGGGGTTTTTGGTGGTTTTTTCCCTAGAATTAACAATTACTTCAAGAAAGTGAAGAACAAACAAAGTTCTGAGTTATCCAAAACTTTCGAGGTACAGGAATGTACCCTGTGATATTGTCATCCACCATAGAAATGTCCAATTTTCGTCCAATGCTAGAAATCCAGAAAATAGGCATTTGTTTTTTCATTAGACCCGTCAAATGAGTGGACCGAGTCAGGTCGAAAATGATCCAATCTAAGTTGGTCAATTTAACCCGTTTTGATCAATTTTCATGCAATACAAATTTAGTGACACATACTCGATTTATATCTGACTCGACCGATATTGCTAAAACACTTTCATATTAAATCCAATTTAGGAAAACTCGGCGAGGAGTGAACAAGCGCGAGATCGAATGAGAGCGAAAAAAAATGAAGAGAGAGTCATAAAAGTGGGTTGAGTCTAAGCAAATTGTGAACCCATTAAACACCTATATTATTTTGAGCTTTACAATTCTAAACCCATTTATGACCTATTTACCGAATATTATTAACCCATACAACAACTTGAGCCATCAAATATAAGTTAATAAATGGATTTATGACCGTTTTGACATGTATATTTTTCACGTTAACTACATGCCACGTCATATATATTCAGCTAAAATTGCTCGTAATGAAGTTATTTGCGCCGTGCATCTTGCATCTCGAGATTGTGTAGTTGGTCATACATCAATCTGTCGACATTCACGTGGAAAACCGCCATCCTCCGGCATCTTTCCTAAGCTATCAAAGGCATAAGGTAGAGACTCTTACACCAAATCGATGCAATATACATCATATCTACAGATCAATTTGATTTTGCAAGAGAGTCTAACACCATACGAGATAGAAGATGTTTTAGGTTTAGACAATAAGCTACGGTTTATGCTATAACCTCTTTCAGTGAAGGGATAAGAGAAACCTAGAATTCTCCAGCGAAAACATCATTTAAGACCACAGGAACTGCAAGCTCTTCACTTGCAAGTATTTCAACACTCCAAACACTAGAGCAAACTGTACCAACATGCATTAATTATTGATCAAAGGCCTGAAATTTGCAGTCTCAATTCAGGCTAGAGACTATCAAGAGTATAACTTACATATTTCGCGAATACCTTGTCCTTCACAAATTGGCAAAATAAAAAAAGTAACCTTAAAGGTGGATCATGCAGAAATCGACTGTCAGGACAGATTCAAGCTTCTTAGTTCGACGATCTTTCAAGAGTTCCCCTGCATTACACCTAAAAGCAAAAAAAATTGATCTTTCCAGCCTACTTTTCTTCGGCGTTGTCATAAACCTGATTTAACTCTTCTACCAGTATCTTTAATATTCACACTAATGTGATCTGCATTTCAAGTTCTCTATTTACAAGATGCTTATTTGATATGAAGTTCAATACCAAAACAAATTGCAGGATAGGTGCGGCAAGACTGCGCAGAAATGTCTCTGTATTCATCCCATTCTCCTCACCTCTATGTGCTTGCTCATACACCTGGGAAACAAAATTGTTAATACAGTAGAACAATCGAATCATGGACATATTAATGGAGGCCTCTATGCATAAGCTGCGATTAAGATCTTAGGTGTTATAAAAAAAATCAAGCTAAAAGATCTACTTTGGCAGATGATATGTTGGGGTATTCAAACATGACAAAGTATTTTGTTTAAAAGAACTAATGCACGGAACAACTGGCCTATGTGACGTGCGAAAGGAATATTTTATTCAAGTAATCAACATTTTTTGACAAAGCCTTCTCGAAATTTTCTTTTTTCTTAGAGTAGCATGCATTCATAAGTCTGCTTTCTCCTCCACTCTTTTGCCTTCCAGAATAAGAAACTGCAACGTTCATTCTACAAGATTTACAAAAGAGAAACTATATTTTGACATGCATAACGAGATGGCAATAAAGAGTTTGCTATTTGAAATGACATAATACCTTTTGTCATGAATCTGCATATGACTTTCAAGTAAGTGCCAAAAAACTGTGGACAAATTATGCAGTGACACTTTAGGATGTTAATTGTAAACACCCAATACATGAATGGAGTAAGAATGCACAACCAGGTTCTATATGTTACCCAAAAGTGAACTACAGTTTCCCCTTTTCGTTCATGTCGGATAGACGCTTATCAATGCATGAAAATAAATGCAACAAGTATTGACAATGATTAGGCACCTTGCAGAAATTTCTCATACTCCTGCAGTTGTGAAATGAAACCAGAATTAGGAGATGCTTGTCGCCGTCTGCTCTTCACATGTTCCAAAGCTTGAGAAAGGCTCATGCCATGCTTTTTCATGAGATAAGCAACAACGATTGTAACACTGCAAAATACACATCTTTAGTTCGATAAATCACAAATCTAATTAATGATTAACAATGTAAAAAGGTAATCATAGCTTTAGCAGGCAATTAAAGTCAAAGTCCAGCATATATCAGAATAGGAAGTTCCAAGAAATCCAGTAAGATTAAATAGCAACTAGCATTCCATGTTTGTCTGTAGTCCGGAGTATCATTTATGGCACTTGACCTTTCAGACATAAATGCTGACACGTAAATCGTAACCAGTATGTTTATTCTTCTAATCCATTCAGGTATTTAATTGAAAAGATGAATACATATATGATGAATTTGTATCCACAAAAATGATCTTGGGAGCCTTTAGATGAGGTTTGAAGTAACTTCTAAGTTATGTACATAAAGTAGCCAATTAGGTTTGTGAGGAAACCTAGAAGGTGAAGAATGATTGCATTAATGAGTACCTCTACAAGATAGAAATAGAAAAATTCAGAGTGACGGTAATTCCTCACACGAAACTATTGGCTCTATGGAGATAGCAATGCTGACAAAGTCAAATTGTTTCAAGAATCTGAAAAACCTTATAACATGTCCTTTCAAAGACAGGCAGAAATAGCATTCACATTTCATTTGATGGTGGGAGCTGATACGAGAGCAAAACATTGAAAGGTCAAAAGATTTATCTCCTACATTGTTCAAATGTGTGTCGTGATTTCATAGTCATCTTCACATGGACCAATTCCCAACGTCAACTTCATAAAAAAGATCCTTGTAAAGCAGTTCAAACATCATGAAAAAGTAAAAAAGTTTGCCTGAACAGACCTATTAATTCAAAAGATTCCCTACAGGAAAGATATATCTCCCACGATCACAATAGCCATAGTAGGAGACAGCATCGACGTTATTAGTCATTTTCACATGGACTCAATCCCGATGTCAACCACATTAAAATGACAATTGAAATGCTGTTCATGTATACTGAAAAAAGTCTGACCAAGAAAAATACATACTGAAAATGATGTAGTAAAGAATATTGTCTGAGTAGACATGAACTATGCCCTGACAATGTTAATAAAAGATATCATCCCAAATGTAATAGGAGAATCACCTTCTGGATTTCCCAACGAAGCAATGAACCAGCACACCTCCACCCAATCTCTTGGCTTCGTCAATAAATTCAAAGCACTCATCAAAGTGTTCTCTTATGTTTGTGTCTTCCCTATCCCCGACTACCTCAATAAAAAAAAAATTGCAACAAAATAACCAGGTCAAATACTTTGGTTCCATTGGTCAATGACAAAGATGATCTATCCAAATAAGTATTAACTTCGGTTTATGAAGATTAAAACGGAATATCTGCCTCCAACGTATATAACTTTACAACAAAAAACAAAAGCATTGTGCCTTGGATTGCACTATCTCACAACTTGTAATTCAAGTCTAATTATTATTTGCCTTTTCAAACATATCGGATTGCGCCGAACTTGTGGAATTTATATGGAAAGAAGCCAAAATATAGCGGACAAACATTGTGTGCTTGTTGCAACTATTAAGGAAAAACATCCAATACAAGAAAATCAGTACCTGCAATGACTTTATACACGAAATCGTCTGGATATGCAGGTTTCAACGTACTAGCCACGGTTAATATGTGCGTCACATTAAGGCGTTTAAGATCATCTTTGTTATTCGCAGCGCCAACAGATCCCAAGAACAGATCCTTAACGTCAATCACATGAAACAACATCAGCAGCTGCATCCATCAAACAAAAGTAGCAAAGGAACACAAAACGAACACGACAACCAACCTAATGCATGAACAATAGATTGAGGTAAAGTGCCAAAAAAACCGCCGTAAGTTGCATACCTCTTCGATTTTGCACAGAACCTTGTCTTCATTAACACATCGAGTTAAATTCATAACCCGCAGAAGCGCTTGGATCTGACCCCTGATGGATTCATCGTACTGAGCCATTGCCAGAATAAAGTAATCCCAACTCTTCTTTTGTCAAATATCAGTAATTCAGTATCTAGATGAGCACAACGAGGAGCGCCAATTAGCAGAGAGGAAGTAGAACATGTACTGATACAAAACGATGATTAAGAATCGACCCCATCGCCTTAGCAACAACCATCGATCACACCACATGAAAGTTAATCGCCAACCGAAACACAGAATTCACTGATCATTCACACCCATTAATCAACACATAAACCTGATCAAATCTTGCACGAACTCGAGCCAGCTAATCCACAGAGAAATCAAGCAAAACGTCTAGACAAACCATGCAGAAAAACAAGAATCAAGAAGACAGGACTCGAGAGACGAACAAGATCATCGGACACCAGCCCAACACAAAAATGGGAGAAACCCAAAACTCCTCTACATGAAATTCCAACACCCAAGAAAAAATCCGGGTCGGTGACATCTACAAGATTGAAATCGAACCACCTGGGTTCTTCTTGCTTCCAAGTGGAAACGCGAAGTCGATGAGCGAAGCGAGCAACTGAGGAAGATGGACCCGATTGAATGCGATCGATACAATCGAAGACAGAAGGAAGAATCATGGGAAGAGCTCACCTTGGCGAATGGTTGATCCACGAGTGACCCTGACGACGACGATGACCACCTGTATATCTTGCAGTTCATTGCGATCAATTCGAGTTGAGATTGTTCGTCGGCGTGATAGGCCCAGTTCGATCCGCGACGGGAACGGGCCGGGCCGGGCCGGTTCGGTCCAATTCGGTTTTGCTCACGAGCCTTCAATTTGTATTTGTGTTTTCGATTCAGGGTCAATTCCCAAAAAAAACATCAACTTAATATTGAGTGACAATTCTAATCCAAAATTTTTTTTTTGTCTCGTAAAAAATCATCAATTTTCACTTAAATCTCAAATCTGGTCCGAACAATTTGAAAATTTCACATCATGGTAGCCAGATTTGGGACTCAATTAAAAGCATTGAGACAAAAAAAGTTTGGGCCAGAATCGTCACTCAAGGTAAAGTTGGAGATTTTTTTTGTGGAATTAGCCCTTTCGATTCTATACGAAAATACTCCAAACCTTTTTTCTTTTTGGAATTTCAGGACCTTCAGAATACGGTGAAGAATTTTTCAAATTTTATAATTGTAATCTTGGACTTATGCTTTTACTCGAGAGAGAGTGAAGGGTGGCTCGTCTGATCTTGGGATATTAAAGTTAACTGCAATGTATGAACTTGGCCCGACTGATGCCTACCTAATTAAAATGTCAGGGCTGATTTTTTTGTGAGATGAAAATTAGATCGGAGTGCCATGGGATACTATACTAGTTTGAGATTTTTAATGGTATTGATCCTAATTGTTTTGGTTCAAATGACGGATTCGACGACCAGCAAGATAAAAGGGATGAGAAAACAGGGTATAGCCCCAATCGAGATGTTTGAGGATACCGCTAATGACTTTTCTAAATTTGCTTATTAGTGATTTCTTTTGTGTACTTCTGATGCCATTGGAATTGACAAAACTATACTTGAAAGGCATAGTTAAGGGGTGAGCTTGTATTGTTATTTTTCAACTCGTAGGCTTGTTTGTAGTGCCTAGTAAGGTTCTCGTTCAATCTATTTATCACTCCAATAACTAGCACTCTTTTAGACACAATAGATGCGTTTTGAGTTGGCCAAAAGAGCCAATTAATTTTGTGCAATCAAAAGCTTCACTTTGGGAAATAGTCATTGCTCAAGCTATTAGCAAACCTAAAAAATCCTTTTCAGAACCCTTCAGAGCTGGCGTAATTGATTAGGTAAATAGAGGATTATGCAGTTTAGGAATTACAGGCCACGTGCTCGAATTCCATCACTACTTTGGGTCAAAACCGAACCGCATAGACCAAAGATATGTAGTTTCACAAGGTTTATAAGGTGTTCTATTTGGAGAATTTTCAGGTACTCAGTTATCCACGCTCGTGACTCTGGATTACAAAGAAAGGGAAAGAGAAAATGTCTCATATGGTTAGAAGCATAAGATTTTCAAAAAGACATCGCAAATGGCGTCCTTCTTTGTAGTCTATGCTCTTGTGTGCGCGTGCATGAGATAGAGAGGCGCAACCTTCCTATAGTGATTCTGGATAATATCGGTGGTTGGTGCACCATGTATAGAGCATAATAACTGGACAAAAGGAAAAAAACAAAATAAATCACATGCCACCTCCCTCAATTTAATCTATCCTTGATCTGTTATCTATGCGTATAAATTCTTTTCTTTCGTTATATATGCTTAAAAAGAAGGTCGTCTTGGCTTTTAGTTGGTTCCACAAACTATAGTTCTTCCAAATTGAAGGAGATGGCATGCTTGGGAGAGCTCGGAGACATGACTTTGTATCTAGACAAAGCCCTTCGGTTCAAAGTGCATTTGATCAAAGCCAAGAGTCTTTGCTTATGGCTCTGCATAAACCAATCGAATTCAACTTTTTTTCCTCAAGCAAAATCGTCGGACCAAAAGAATAATAATAATCGACTGCCTTATTAATTAGTTCGTACGATATGTAATTACCTTTTTCGTATAATCCAGTCATGGAAAATCAATTGATAGATTCTTACACCCCACCGCTATTTTCCACATAAGAAATAGCCTTTTCGTTTTCAAAAAACACATAGGCCACTTTGGAAATGTATATTGCCCACGATGGAAACGTGAATCATGATAAAAAGAGGTAAGGCCACTTTGCAATATTCACATTGTATCATGCAGTTATAGGATTCTAATTCATGCGGGTTCTAATTTTGCAAATTATTATCCCTTCCTTGATCTTTTTATACGGCATCTGTGAACATTTGTTATATTGTCAGAATATTTTCGTACCTTTTTTTTTTAGGACGAAATCTTTTCTTACCTCAAACGAAATTCGAGATATATGTTTTAATGTCCGTAAACGTCAATGTGAATCATGGACGGGCTCCTGTTTCTTCCAATAAATTTTCATATATATTATGGCCTTATCTGTATAATATATAGTTACCAGTATATATAGAGAGTGACACACACACAAGAACAAGAACAAGAGCAAGAACAAGGTGGGCAGCAGAAGCTAAGTGCATCGTAGGTAATCTCCGAGCTCATGAAATTGTTAGCTTCGCTTCGAGCATTACCTGCGAGCTTTTGCATATTTCTTCTCTCATATGGCGATGTTTTTTATATAGAAGAAACTAATTCTAGTGTTTTTTTGGTCATTGTTGGGAAAACATTAGCATCGGATTGATATTACTATTATTTTTTAGGGTCTTGGATTACTGACTGATGATAAATTTTTATGTGTTTGGAGTAGGGCAACAACAATCCCAAAGATGGCATTGGTCAATATCATTCTCATGCTATTTACATTCGGTTTTCTTCACCACCAAATGGCGATCACGGAGGCGCGGCTCGACGTCGGCGTGTGCTACGGGATGATCGGGGACAACCTCCCTTCTCCGGCGGCTGTGGTCCAACTCTACCAGCGCTACAACATCGGGAAACTGCGGCTCTTTGATCCGAACGCTGCCGCACTCGCTGCACTGAGAGGCAGCGGGATAGAGGTCACGTTGGGCACCAACAATGGGGATTTACAAAGCATCGCGTCGAGCGTCAATGCGGCTAAGGCATGGTTCGACACCAACGTGCAACCGTACATGAGTGGTGTCAAAATTACGTATCTTTCGGCCGGTAACGAAGTGGTCCCTGGAAATTTAGCTCAGTTCGTACTTCCAGCTATGCAGAATCTACAGAGTGTTGTTAATGGCTATGGATACAGTGGTATGCGGATCACCACTGTGGTCGCGGCTTCTACCTTAGGGACTTCTTACCCGCCGTCGAGCTCCACATTCGCTGATGCGGCTCGTGCCGACATGGTTGGAATCATAAAATTTTTGTCAAGCAATGGCTCGCCATTGATGATTAATGTTTATCCGTACTTTGCGTACGCCTCCGATCCGGCCAACGTGAGATTGGATTACGCTCAATTCACCGCGACCACCCCGGTGGTTCAGGATGGCTCCTTGAGTTACTCGAACTTGCTCGACGCGGTCGTGGACGCCTTTTATTGGGCGATGGAGAAGGAAGGTGTGACCGGTGTGGATTTGGTGGTTTCCGAGAGCGGCTGGCCTTCGGCTGGAAACGGTAACCTCACCACTCCAGAGCTTGCACAGACTTATAACCAGAACCTTGTGAAGAGGTTTCAGGCCAATGCCGGGACGCCTAAGCATCCGGACCGTAGCTTGGGAGGTTTCATCTTCGCCATGTTCAATGAGAATCAGAAACCTGCCGGCATCGAGCAAAATTTCGGGCTATTCTATCCCGACGGGACGCCGGTTTACCACGTATTTTAATGAATGCATCCCTTATAAGACAGTTGACAGAGGCACATATAGTTTTTTTTTAATTGGGACCAGTGAGGTGGTGTGCAATATGTAGTATCCTATTATACTCAAACATCTATGTTTGGTTCATTATAAGTTTGCTCTTATATACCTCTCTAATAAATCTTGGTTTTCAAGTCATTGAGGTGATCAGATTATGTTCTACACAATAGAATGCAAATACACAGTAAAAGCATGGGTTCAATACCTGCTAAAGGCAAAAGTTCAAACCGGGCATGTAATGTAGCGACAGGCACATCAACCCTAAGTTCCAAATGTGTCTCACTAGATATCAATGCTTATCGATGTTGCTATCAAACTGTCTGATACATTTGTCAGTGTTGTGGTCGAGTTGTCTATGTGATATATGCGTTCATCAACGATATCTATGAGCACATTCGTTTATGCTTTTTAAAAGTTAACAACTTTTTTTGCTATCCCACCAAAATTTTAGTTATCGCAAAAAAAGATAATGAAAATATTATGTGTGAATTTACGTGCCAATATTAGTATATTGTGAAAGAATATGTACTAATTCAAAACGATGATGAAGAATCAACCCCATCGCCTAAGCAACCAACATCGATCATACCACATGAAAAGTTACTCGCCAAGCGAAATACAGAATTCACTGATCATTCACACCCATTAATCAACACATAAACCGGATCGAGACTCACATTGCATCTTGCACGAACTTAAGCCAGTTAATCCACAGAGAGATTAAGCAAAATGTCTTGACAAACCATGCAGAAAACAAGAATCAAGAAGACAGGATTCGAGAGACGAACAAGTTAATCGTACACCACACAACACAAACATTGGAAAAAACCCACGAAACTTCTCCAGATGAAAATCGAACACCCAATAAAAATCCGGGTCGATGACATCTATAAGATTGAAATGAAACCACCTGGGGTCTTCTTCCTTCAGGTGAAAACGCGAATCGATAAGTGAAGCAAGTAACCGAGGAAGATGACTGATTGAATGCAATCGACATAATCGAAGACGAAGAAAGAATCGTGAGAGGAGCTTACCTTGGCGAATGGCCTGATCATGAGTGATCCTGATGACGACGACCTCTATTTCTTGTAGTTGATTGCAATCAATTCGGTTGTTCGTTGGCGCGATAGGCCCAATTTGACCTGCGATGGAAACGGGCTGGGCCGGGCCAGGTCGGTTCAGTCCAATTCGATTTTGCTCATAA